ATCACTTTCAAAAGAATCATAGGGCCGAAAAAAAAAAAATTCGGAGCGTCCCCAACTGCCGTAGCGCCTGCAGCTTTTTTCCCCGCGCCAGACACAGCTGGTCGGTAGATTGCAGTGGGCGAATGCTTGAGAAGGCTGCGACCAAAAGCCCCAGGCGTCGCATTTTGGTAAGGAGAAGGCTGCGAGATGTAGTGCGCAGAAGATGCCATAGAAGATACCCCAAGACCAGCCCCAAAGCATCATACCGTGGTGCATAATGCTACCCCGCATGGTGCTACTGGCGCACTATTCTTACTTTTGCCCTACTCTACTGTTACCAAGTGGCAGAAGTGGAACAGTGGAGGTGTAATCACTTGAGATGAGCAGCCTGTTTCAGACGAAAAAAAGCCAAACCCACTTGATATCTGCTAGGGTGATTTGACGCGAAAAAGACGTGTTTCGGGCATCAATTTGATGCCAAAAATCGCGGCTTTTTGCAGGGGTGATTCAAGCAGATTCGAAGCGGGAGGAGTCAAATGAATCATAGGGCTAATTGATAGCTACAAAACGCAAGGTGATTACACCTCTTTTTTTGCTTCGAAAAAGATGAATTTTTGGCAAAAGTTGAGCTTTTTTCAGAAAATCCGACACCCTCGGGACGCTACGCCCGACGGTATGGAGGTGTAATCACTTCATTTTTATGGTGTCGCTTTTCCTATCTTTAGCAATGGGCTTGTGCTTGGTATTTTGGGTTGCGAATGCTTCCCCCGAGTTGTTTGCAAGCTATTCAGGCGCGATGGCCCCAGCGTCCACTCATGGCCATTGCGTTCGTCTCCCGTAGCCACCAACCAAATAGCGCAAACCTTATCGAGAAAGGCGCGACCTTCCTGAGGAGCGTCGCTGTGTCTCAGGTTATTTGGTTGTATATATTGGGCGCTTCCTTATGCGTGCGAGCCGGGCCATGCACTGCGGTACTTGGAAAATTTGCTTTTTGAACAAGATGCGGTACTTGCGTGGAGCGAGTCTTTTGCTTTTTGAACAAGATCATGCCTTTTGCAAAAATCTCTTGCCACTGCGAGTGGCCCAGCAGGAAGTGGACCGCAAAAAGAGAGGGCGATCTTTGAGGTTGGGTTGTCGACCTCATCTCCAAACCTAAAACTTAGTTTTTTTTTGTCCGAAACGCGACCTAATAAAATAAGTTTTTGGTTTGTAGATGAGGTCGACGGCGGACACCTCAGAGCCAAGCATCTCTGTGGCTGGCCAGGAAGGTGATCTACCTCTGCCTCCGAACGTTGTCCAGCAAGATTGCGGAACGAGATCCGGAGGCAGAGCAACCGGGCGCCCTGTCACTCGCCCCAAGTAGCTTGCAAGGCCAGGCAGGTTGCCTGGGCACGATATGAGCGAACAAACCCGCCCAGAACAACTCCACACTTTCGGCGACAAAAAGGAGAGCAAAGCGAAAGCAAAAACTTATTTTATTAGCTCGGGGAAAGCTCCCGAAAAAAGTAAGTTTTTGCTTCGCTTGCGGTGAGCCTTTTCGGAGCAAAACCCTGACCAAAACCCTGCCGCTTTGGCGGCAGCCATCACAGGGGCAAGCATCTCGTTGGCTGGCCAGGATGGTGATCTACCTCTGCCTCCGAACGTTGTCCCGCAAGATTGCGGAACGAGATCCGGAGGCAGAAAAGCCGGGCAGCCTGCTCCGCGTACCAAGTAACGCGCGAGGCGAGGCGTCTTGCCTGGCGTAGATGCCAGCCTAGGAGTTGTCTTTTGCTTTGTGAACAAGAT